TATGAACTAAACTCCTGGACTATTCAAAATGTCTTCTGATTTGTCCTAAAACATTAAAGTAACTTTACATTCTCCAGAGGATGTACACATTTAGTATTTTTAAATGTTTTAAATTGCAAATTTTCATGTCAGTATTCCAAGTTAACTAGCAAAATTAATGTGCCAAAACATTTTTCTGATTGCTCCCCATATTCCCTAGTACAAGGCTGAGAAACTCAATTTTAGATATGCTGACATCTCCCTACACACTAAACACAGTGTGGAGCACATGATGACCTGGGCCCAGCCTCTTCTCCTTTCCTCCACAAACATTCTAGGCATATCTCTGAGCAGTTAATCCTCCTTATTCTTCCATTTGCCTCCTCTTGGTCTACATGAGGTATACATACCTGGGGCTACCTCAAGTTCTACAGAAGCCTCTCCCTTCCCCACCAGCTTGCACTCCACTATTATGCTAATCAAAGCTGGTCTCACGTTGTTCAGGTCTGTAAGTGTATATTACATATTGGCATAAAGCATCCATTTTCTTGTGTTTTCTATGAAAGTAATACTCTGACAGTTTTGGTCTCAGATCTAAATATACTGATGCATAGGAAGCAGCCAGCACACTAAGGACACCTAGTAAAGTCTAGTTAATGCACCTGTTACTCCCCAGCCTGGGCTAGCCTGAGTGACCAATGAGCAAACTTAGAGTCTGATCTTGTGCATATTCCTTCATATTCCTAGTTTGCTGCCTTTTGCATGTATTCAATAATGGTTTGGTTGTTAAAACTTATTTAATTAAAAATAATCTCCTAGTAAGTTCCTAACTTGGTCCAAACTCTAATGAATATCAAAAGTAGCATGTTGATGATTTTTAGTTGGTAATTTTAATTAATCAGTCTATACTTTATGTATAAATATGTATCTCCAAGTATAACTCCGAAAGTATTCACATAGTAACAATCAGTACCTCAATATCCAAAATGGTTGATACAGTTACTCATGATTCTAAATTAACCTAAAAACATTAGCATTAACCCCATCCACAAATTAAGTCACCAGCAAATTATCTCTGTTTATCCTTCTTTTTGTATAAAAGAAAGTAAGCTTTGGGGGGGGAGGAGTTTTTTGTTTTTGTGGTTTTGATTTTTCAAGACAGGGTTTCTCCATATAGCCCTGGCCTTCCTGGAACTTGCTCTGTAGACCAGGCTGGACTCAACTCAAAGATTCGCTTGCCTCTGCCTCCCAAGTGCTAGGATTAAAAGCTTGTGCCACCACCATTTAGCCCAAGTATAAGCTAAATCTTAAACCCTTATTTCCAATTGGTACTTATGAGATCTTCAACAGTGACCAACAGGATTCCTGAGTCTTAAACAAGGAATGGGATGTTTCTAAACAAATTTATAACTAATTTTAAACATGAAGAATAGATGGCACTCAGATAGAAGCAGGTCTTGTGGTTACAATGTAAGCACAGCAATGGTTAAAGATCGGAAAAAAGAAACAGCAGGAGGGCACCAAAAGAAAGCTTACAGCAAACACACTCTGTGTCACAATGTAAACACAAGCACAGGCCAACCTAGTGAAGAGCATGACTCAACGTGGCATACATACAGCACACCCCAGTCAACCAGTCACTCAAATATGGCATTAATAAGGTAGTGGCTACTGGATAAGTCTTCTTAGGAATGCAAGGTGACAATTAAAAACTTGGATTAATATTTTACCAGTCATAACCTGAAAAATTCCCAGTATATTAGTGAAAGTCCCGTAGCATAGGTGTTTTTAACACTTCTGGATAAAGTGGCCCTTTGAAATGGTTTAATACTTTGAACTAAGAACATTTTAAGATTTTGTTGAGATTTTAATACATCTAAAAGACATACCTTAAAGTTTTTATTTTATACTACTAAAAATATGCCAAATCCATGAAGTGATAAAAATCTTTATAGGCCCTAAAGAATGTTACTTTCATTCATTAAAAAATTATAGAGCACTTTAAAGTTAATGTTGGTTGCTTTAAAATTCTGAAACAATTAGCTGTGTGTGTGTATGTGTGTGTGTGTGTGTGTGTGTGAAAAACAGTGTTAAATTATTCTACATATTCTCCCAAATTGTGTTTTGTGTACATATACATACATATATATGCAGAGAGACAGAGCTTACTTTTGCCCTTCCAAGAGTTCTCAGAAACCATTACTTCAATTTTGATGAGTTCAACCACTCCCCACTATTGATGCTGTATGTGTTAAACAAAAAGATTTTCAAAAGTACTGACTTATAATATAATTTTTCAGCTTCCAGTCAATCTTTAATCTCAATTAGATTTCAATCATTTAAATTACTTTTTAAACTAAATATATATATGTGTGTGTGTGTGTGTGTGTGGTATGTATGTAAACATACAATTTAAAATTTTATGTGATATTATAAATATTGGTTCTACATTATTAAAACATTTCAGACAATGGCTCTGTTTATTTTGATGGTATCACTGCTTATCTCCACAAGAACACTTTTCTTGCTCCAAACTAAGATCAAGTCAGATATAAAAAACAATTTAATCTTAATATACACTAACATAAATCCTTGGGAGGTAAGCTTCAATGAAAAGGTATCTTTTAGATTGTATTAATGAGGCAAATTCCTAAGAAGTTCCTAACGGTTAAGTATTAAAAATACTAATCTGGAGAAAACAGAAAGTGGTGTGGCTGTCAATTTACAAAGCTATTAAAAGTACCAACAGTGAAATGACAGATTTAACGGGGCACCACTGAGAAAAGTTCTCTCACAATTCTTTCAAAACTTTTAAAATTTCAAAATTAAAACAAAATGTATTTATCTTACAAATGATGCTCATGTCTTTATCCATCCATTAACACAGTCTAGAACATAAACCTTGGGTCTGTCTGTGGCTCCACCTCCTAAAGCATAAAATATCACCATCAATTTATGTTCCAGGCTTAATATAACAAGAGGAGCCATAAAAGAGAACTACACTCAAAACGACGATAAAATGAGAAAGGGCCCTACAGAGTCCATAGAAGTCAAAGCAATTTTCAATATATTCTAATTTTACAAGTGACTTTCAATATACATTTCCCCAAATGCCAGCTTTACTGACTATATTAACAGAAACTTATTAAAATTACTACGATTCAACTTGGATACCGCACAGTCTTAAAAGCTGAAACTTTAAATGGAAATGTTTAACTTTTTAAAATTAATACTCGAACAAAAGAAAAAAAAACTTGAGATCAACAGAAGTAATTCCAAAGTTAACATTATTTCAGTAAACTTAGTTAAAAGCACTACAATACAAATTCATTTTGTGTGATACGTCTGATTTTTCTCACTAAGAATCACCTTGTCTTTTCCACTAGGCCATAAAGAAATACAGAAAAATTAAAAAGGTTTCACCTTATTAAAATTCCATCTGCACTTATTTTCTTGATATAGTGGTCTCGATATAACATACTTGCTAAAATAGTCAATAAACATCTAAATTCTAGTTCACTGCCTTTCTGCCAACTACATTCAATAAGGCATTATGCAATCATCTACTAATCAAACATTTCGTAAAAAAAAAAAAAACTACACTCCTATAGTGTAAAAGTCAAAGTGATTCTGTTCCGTTCCCACGGGAGGCAATAAGCTCTCAGCCTACAGTCCTACTTAACTAGCTTATCCCTGTTCCCTTCTACACTTGCCACATTTCTATTAGAAAATAACGATTTGAGCAGGAAACCATCCAATCTGTCCCTCCCCCACGGTATTATGTACGTAGAGATGGTTATTCTATAATCGTTTATACAAGGCAAGCAGTGATGTGTTCCCTGTGTCAGCTGAACAGGATCTGCTAAGTTTTTGAGTACCTTAAATAAGCTGATCAGTATGTTCTATACCCTACAACTCCCACACTGCCTGACAACGTTTACCAACAACATCCTTCTCTCTACAACAGGAAATAGCCTGTCACAGAACTCAAAGGAAAGCTGCTTCCATCTAAAGACTCCTGAACACTTCCCAGAGCAGCTGTTAGTGACTCCCAGGCGCCTCTTGGGCTATCGCTGTAGTTAAATTAATAGTGGGTCATCTTCTTCCTCTTAAACCTTGGTATTCCTCCAGAAAAACTTGAAAATTTACCTTAAAAATAAAGACAGCAGGAAGGAAAATAAGTTACTCTAACCCCACCACTTTGCCCCAGGAAATCATTTCAGGACCTTTACATCATTGCTTAAACCACACCAGATCAGTTATATAAGACAACGAAGGCTTTTAAAGCATACAATTTTCTACTTAACCTTACCAAACACATTGGCGAGTTTTCAGTAAGTGCCAAAACGTTCTGTATTTAAAAGATGCTGGTGCACTCCATCACAACTATGCTGCCCAAATCCACGTCACAAACACCCTGCACTTGGTGAATTTTAGGAGTGTTTCTGGTTACCTGCTGAACCTTCTGCACCCTTTGTCACCCAGTGATGCTCTCAAACAGCATATACTTTCCATCCCTGACAACGGTCTCGTACCCCACAGAAACACACCAGACTTTGACGTTTCTTCATAACCACTAATGCCACTAGGTGCTGTGGCTCTTAAAGAATCTCCTCAGCAGCTTCCCCTGGGACAAGGCGCTCAGCCGGGCTCACAATCGCTAAGACGCTGCCAGCTGCCTTTGCAAAGGCAGCAGAGGCGACTCCATACCGCATTGCTGCTGCTGCTGCCGCCTACTTTCTCCCGCAGTTTTAGGAAGAGGGGAAATGAGCCCATTCTCCTGCAGACCCCAGTGGCCCCTTCGGCCGCACGAAAGAGAAACCACTGCATTGCTCTGCTGGGAAGCTCGCAGAAACCCACTAAAGGGCGGAGAAGCCGCAATCAAGCGCCAGTCGGGTGGACTAGGAAGGCGTCCGAAGTGCGACGGTCGGCGCCGAGGCAACCATGGGGCGCCCCCCCTCGGGGATGGGGGTCCGGCCCGGGGGTCCCGCCAACCCTGCCCGCCGCGGCGCGGGCCTCACCTGTCAGCAGCGCCTGGCGCTCGCCCGCAGCCGCAGCCGAAGGAGACGCAGCCGCTCCGGCCGACCCCGACGAGCGCCGCCCGCGGAGGTGCCGGGGCACCAGGTCGCATCCGTCCGCCGCGCCGGCCACCAACAGCCCGAAGAGCAGCAGGGAAGCCCAGCGCCGCCGGAGAGGGCAGCCCGAGGCCCGACCCGGTGCCGCGGCGGGAGGAGCGCTCCCACGAGCCGCCGGCCACTCGCTCGCCGCCAGCTGCCCCGGGCCCCGCCGCCTCGGAAACGGACTCCCGCCGGGCGCTAGCCAGCTCCCTTCACCGGCAGCCCGCGGAGCTCGGCTCCCCGCCGCGTTCATTGGTTCCGGTTATTCAAAAAAAAAAAAAAAAAGTGGGGGAGCGCTGTGGCACGGCGTCTTCCGACCCGGCGCGACACCCGCGCAGCTGCCGCGACGACACCGGGATCCGCTGCTCTGGCGCGGCCAAGCCCCAGCCCAGCGCCCGCGCCCGCGCCGCCACCGCGGCGCATCCCCCCGCCCCCTCCGGCCCGCGCCCGCCGTAGTACCACGCTCGGCCGGGACACCTCCCTCCCCTCACACACTCGCTCGCATACCAAGCCCCCGCCTCCCTCAGCCCGGCCACGGCGCAGGCGCGACGCGGGGATAGTGCGCGTGCGCGGCGCCCCGGCCCCGCCCCCAGGGGCGTTCCCAGGCTGGTGGGCGGGGTCCGGAGCAGCCGGCCCGCCGGTGTGGGGTGAAGCCAAGGAACCTGAGCGGGAGGTAGGCGTGCGTGTCGCCCACGCGGAGATCGGGTGATGGGCAGCCTGGGGACCTGGAGAAAGCGTGTGACGTCGCAGATCCACCAAATGCTCTACCGCGTGGGTCAGAAAAATCTTGCAGTAGGATACATCGTCCTCCCCCTAACTTGGATGTAGGTGGGGCTTACCGGTTACCAGCTGTGTAGAGGTGGAGGGTAACCCAGCCTAATGTTGTATTTATTTAACAAACATTTGGCAGAGCGCTTGCTCTGTGCCAACGTGCTAGGAATTTCTCTAAGCAATTTACAGCGGCATAGTGTAACGCATCCTTCTCATCGCCATTTTACAAGCGACGAAATCAGAGACCTGAAATGTTAAAATAACTTAACCCACCGGCCCACAGCTAATAAATGAACACGGCCAGATTTAGCAACGACTGGATGAAAATGTTCAAATAATTTGCTCTAGCTTTTTACTGTTCTCCGTGCTGACATTACCTGTAGACCTGGCCACACGGTTCCTGTCCCACCCCCTCCTATAGACTCTGCCAGCTGAACAGGTTGCCACAACTACAATATAGGCTTGCCCATTTTGCTTCTCTGCAAGAAGGCAAAGTTTTGTACTTTCACGATGTTCATTTTATTATAAATTGTGCCCGGGACATATTTGTCTTAAAGGTGGAAATAACTAGAATCTGTTTCATGGAAGTAATTGCCATCACTGGGTTGGAACGATGTCGTTTTTCATTTGTTTTATTTTGTTTTAATTGTGGGTGGGAGTGCTCGGGATGTGACCCCTGTGAATGGCGTTTAACCGCGAGCTACATAAGGCAGATACCCAAACCAAGGCATTTCTTCAGGAACCCTTTGAATTGTAAAAGGAGGTGTACACACACAATTATTTAAGATCTTGTAGCTAGGATTGTTAGGAACATAGGTCTGTCAACTGTTGGTTTTTGCTCCTGGCTTGGACTAGATTATTTTATTTCAGTCGTCAAAATAGCTTCCAGACTAATTTCTTAGGTAGCTTGACCAAAAAGAGCCTCAGATATCCCTCATTGTGGAAGAGGCAGAAATGCGCCGCAAGGCTATTTCTTGAAATACTTGTTGGGGGCATTGTGTTTGTGGGGGAGTGGGCAATTCCTTACAGGGCAACAGTAAGGATCTGTTTTGTTTGTTGAACGGAACAGCAGTGAAGTCATGTGTTTGCTGAGTAGACAGTGCTGCTGGGGCACCAAGAAACCAGGAAGTAAACAAGTTGGTTTCCTACTCTCCGGGAGGCATCATCGAATTCATCCATAGTTACTGAACACATAATATATACGCCAAGCAAAGTATTATATGGTGGAGATTCAACAGACTAAGAAACACTTGCAAAAGTCAAATAAGACAGCACTTGAAGCTATGAGATTGTTAGCAGTCCTTTCCTGGGAGACTTTACCACCTTGCACATAAAATAAAATGTATGTCTATTAAGAAATTATAGGTTATGACAAGGTAGGAATCAGTTACTAAAGTGGGTAGTGTGAACGGTGTTATAGAAATAACAATATAAAACCAGGAAAAAATAACAAATCACTAGGCCCAAGCTTCTTTAAACAAAGAGAACGGATTATTTCTTTCAAAGACAGGGTGCCCGCACTGAAAAGATACAGGGTCATAAATATTTATGTCTCTCAAGTGGGCCACAGGTAAGGAACCAGCCTTCACTATGGAGGTCTCTCACAGATGGGCATGGGTTAAAATAAATCCTCTACCTCATCTTGTTCGTGGGCACCAGCGTTTCTGACTGTTAAAATGAGCAGTCTTGTTGCAAGTTGTCACTCAGAGGGGTCTACTCTCCCTATATATAGCATAGGCCTGAGTAACAGGCAAGAGCAAGCCCATTCCTTTACAAGAAAACCCCATCTGTAGAAGTAATTACCCATGCTTTCAATTACAAGCCACACATCACAGGGTGTGAGGGGTGGCAATCAGATTGTCTTCCATGGTTCCCTTTCCTTTCCCAAGTAATCTAGAGCGTCCTGCCCGCCCTTTCCTTTGCCAAATCCCATTCCAAAACTACCTGAAACCCCTTTGTCTTGATGACTTCCCTCCTCCTTCATCCCAGCCTCCTCCTCTTAAAGTCCAGACCTCACAACTGTACCATGTGTTTCCAGAACGTGTTCATTGTCTTTTCACAGTCATGACTTCAGGCATCTGATTTGAACTTTCTTATCAGACCAACCTCGTAGAAACCTCTACTCCATCTTTTCCGTGTGACAAGAAGGCAAGTTAATTAGGAACCCAATTATACCTGCACCACAGTTATTGGTGGTTACAGTGGTGTGGAAAAAATAGTAACAAAGAAAGCCTTCCCTGGGTGCCTGGCACCCAGGTACTTTGTACTTGGTGACTCTGGCCTTAGGCTCTAGGCGTGTACTCTAAACGTGTCCTGTTAGATTTAAACGTATCGCTCTTTGCCTAGGCTGCTCGATTTCATCTTCCTACAGATGAACTGCAGTACAACTCTCCGTGCACGCCCAATGCAGAAGTATTGCACGGCTCCTCCCCATCCACAACCCCTACTCCCCCTACAGACTACACAGCCTGAGCCGGGCTCCAACTTGGAGAACCGGATCTTGGCTGGCAGCTTAGCTGGGCACCTCGCGTGCGCGGCTCCAGCACAGAGCGCGCCAGGGTTCCGTGGGCGGGCCATCCGCGCACGCCCGACACCCGGGTGGTGACGTCACCGCGTGGGCGGGCGCGGCGGCTCTAGGAGAGAACGCTGTGGGCGTGGGGCGGGATGGAAGTATCACCCAGGGGAATTCCGGCTGAGGTCGGGCCTGCCCACAGCTTCCCCGGCCTGACTGTGACCCCCAAGGAGTGGGGGTTCCTGCGACATCAGAGTAGTGGATCACCATGAAGTCCTCTTTGCTAGCCCTTCTTAGATAGCTCCTTGGAAAACGCAAGAAAAACCGTCCTCTTTGTAGAAACCTGTGAACTGGGCCACTTTTCTAGCTTCCTCGAATATTAAGGTCCTGAGAACTTGGAAATCGTCAAAATGATAATAGCTAATACGGTTTCAAATTTGAAGCAAGTACATTAAAACACTAAAAGGGGGTGGGGAAGTAGTAAAAACTGTTCGCTAGCAAGCCCCAGTTTAGTGAAGGTGGAAAATCTGTACATCTTTCTCGGGTAGTGGAGGAAGAAAGCTTTTAAAAAGCCACTCCAGAAAACAAAAGAAAGTCAAATTTACCCACCAAAGGCAAGTGGATAGGTGGTTTGGTGGCATAATTTGTTGCTAATCAAAATAAGTTTGCTTTGTTACTGTTTAATTCGAAGTGTTAGGTGAGAGTTGTTCAATTCATGATTTCTCTGATCAGTGCTGGTGCCCTGTGGGAGGAGCAGTATTGACGTTGCCTGTACGAGTGGAACTCGATGAAGAGAAAAGGAAAACCATCACAGCTGAAAATGACTGGAGATTGGAATGGTGGTGCAGGCTGGAATACCAGCCCTTCAGAAGGCAGGCGGGGGCACTTACACAAAAGGTACTACATGGCATACACGGACATGTGTGTATGTGATAGCACTTGAAACTGGAACGGTAACTCATGAGATGGAAAAATATTTTAGCAAAATGCAAGAAAGTGTGCTTCTGAGTGCACACCAGGCACCCAGCATCTGAGTGGGAGGAGCCGGAGATTGAGGAAGTCAAAGCCAGTGGAGGGTCTAGGTACCAGCCCTGTTCTAGAGCGAAGGCTGGAGAGTTACTCGGTGGTAGAGTGTGTGCTTCTCATGCACAGGTTCCGGGTTCGATCCCCATAACATACACATACACACACACACACACACACACACACCGAGAGAGAGTTCATAACCCACCAAAAATTGTAAGAAAGAAAGAAAAGAATCAGAAAGAGAAACCAAAATTAAAGCAACAACAAGCTATTGGCATAATAAGTTAGGGAAACATCCCCATTTTGATGGCACTAAAAATTAAAAAGGATACTTAAGAGTAAAAAGGCTGTGAAAGACCTCTACGATGAAAAAAGTGGATAACGCTTCCTAAAGAAAACGAGTGAGGACACTGTTAAGTGGAAATACAGCCCGTACGATGCGAGAGTTAAAATACTGCTTCTCCCCAAAGAGAGCTACAGATTTAGGAGAATTCTAACCAACGTTCCAATATTTTTTTTTCTCAGAAACAGAAAAACAATTCTAAAATTTGTGTTGAACCAAGGAAGATGTCAAATGGCTAAAGCAATCTTGTACAAAAAGAACAAAGCTAAAGGCATAGCATTACCTGATTTCAATATTTGTTTGAAAAGTACTATAATCAAAATACATGGTGCTGCCATCAAAAAGAGACACATTGACCAGTGAAACAGACAGAAAGCTAAAAATAAATCCAAGTCTTTATTATCAGTGAATCTTCAACAAGTATCAGGAACACACAAATAGGAGGAAATGATCTGTTTAATCAATGGTGTTGAAAAGTCTGGATAGCCACATGCAGAAGAATGAAAGTAGACCCTTACCTTACATCATAATAAAATTCACCTCCAAGTGAATAAAGGCAGGCTGAAGAGGTGGCTTAGTGGTTAACATACTCTTGCAGGATCTGGTTCCCAGCGCCCACATGGCAGCAACCATGTGCAACATGTAACTCCAGTTTTGGGGGATCTGACTGTTCTCTCTGTCCTCTGCAGGCTCCTTCCTGTACATAGGTGGTATACAGGAATTCATACAAGTATACGCACATACATATCAAATAATAAATAAAAATGTAATGGCTTAAAGACTCAAAATGAAAATAAAGGAAACATAAGACTGAAAAGAGATGGAAAACCGAGGAGACAGGCCACAGAGCTAGCCACAACTTTGCACCAA